CAAATTAGTAATTTTTTAGACAGACAAGGCATGTTTCACATGTCCCTTTAAAAATTAATATTCTCCATGAACAACACTTAAATTGAGATTGAAAGAGTATTTTTGAAAATATAAATGATGAAAAAAAGTCTAGGCACACAATTGAATATCAGTTTTTATATTCCGAAATATCATGAGCCACTATAGAATTTGTAGCGGGACTATAGGATTTAAATTCATTTTTTTCCATCATGAATAAATAATGAACACAGTAACTTTGTCTTTATGAAAATTTATACCCTCTTAACCCTTAACTTTGAAAGGTAGGAGAATAAATTGTTGAACTATAGTTTTATTGATTTACATCTATGTTTAGTTACTTGGTTTTTCAAGGTTATAAGTATGCATTAAATGTGTGGCGTCATTGGACGAGCTTACGCTTGTTTTGCAATTCCTGAACTAGTTTTTGTGGATCATTTATAGGAACACACAATTTTTTAAGTCTTTAATTTGGTCCTCATGCAAGTGTTATATTGCTGTAGTGGTTAGATTGTCCATCGTGTCGAGCACATGTTCTAACATTCGCCCTCTCTAACAATTAACATTCTTGCCATTACAAAATTAAAAAATAATAATAATAAAAAATTGGTCCTCATCATTCTATCATTTTCTAATGGTTATTTTGTGACTAATCAAATTTTAATTTCACCTGAAGTTTTAAGGATATGCATTAATAATAATAAAAATAAATAAATAAACTACTTTTGAGTTTTAATGTGAGATAAAATAAATAAACTATTTTTGAGTTTTAAAATGAGATTTGGATTGTGAATTTTGGTAAAAAAAAATAATAATAAATTTCAAATTCTATTAATTTATATGGTTTTATGGTGTAAATGTGTAATTATGTGTAAAATATATTTTTACATCATTTTGTATAAATTCACCCTCGTTAAATCAACTTAGGGCATCTCCAATGGACTATCCGAATTTAGGCTCTCCGAATTTGTCACATCAACATTTTCCCATAACCACGTCAACATTTTCCATAACCACGTCAGCATTTTAGAATCTCCAAATTTTAGCTATCGGATGTACTTCAATGGTGCATCTTCGCTCTCCAAAAATATTAATATTTTAATTTTTTTTTATTTTTAATAAATTTTATTTTTTAACTTTTTCCTAAATGCTATATTTTTAAAACGGCTATATTATAAAAAAAATTTAAACAATACAATATTTATTATTAAAAACAATACGATACGACATAAATTTAAACAATACAATAAAAATGAAAAACAATATAATCCGACATGAATTAAAAACATAACAACTAGGAAAAACAGAACAATCATATGGAATATATGCTTGAGATAATCGTATGGAAAGCTTAAGTTGCCGCGTGCGCGTATAGATGCTAATATTTCATTTTGGCGTTCAATTAGCCATGCTTTGTCGGCTTATGTTGGCATCGATTCTGGATCTTTTTGCATCATTAACATCTCTTCAGCTCTTTGTTTTTTTTCAATCTCTCTTAGTTTGCTTTGAAGCTCGAGTTGTCTGATTTTTTCATTATCTGCTTTGCGTGCCTCTCGTGCTATTTGAGCGGCTTCAAAAGTTTCAGATTATCTTTGATAAAGGGCTGTTGCATGATCGAATTTGCTAATGAAATAATTCTGACTTTCAGATTGTCTTTTATCCTTATTTCACACCTGTTTCGCTGCTTTTCGTCTTTCTGGTCGCTAATATTCTTCAACATCCGTCGGATCATTTTCGCCTATGTGCGCCGATCGCTCAACTGAACTTGGTGTCGTTGCTGCATTACTTGATGGAGTAAATGGGTTTGAGTAACCAATAGGCTCATTATCATCAATGTGGATTCCACTCCTTTTCTTTGGCTGTTTTTATTTTTATTTTTATTTTTTTATGTCAATTCTTTTTGATAATGTAAATGCCACTTATTGTTGTTTTTCAAAATATTCCAACAACTGTCAAACTTAAATTTGGTATTATTTTGACGAGCAAACAACTCTTTGGCTACTATCATCTAAAAAAATAAAAATCAATAATTATTAGAAGACAAATCTTTAAAATATCTACCAATTAAATTTAATATAATAAATAACTTACCTTGTACTCATTGTCTTGCCCACTGGGGTAATTCCTTTCAATCTGGGCTATGCATCCAGAAAATTTGGTAATCATTTGTTGTATAATGGACCAACGATTCAAGCAGACAATATAATTTATTTTAGGTGTACCAGCACCACTAACGTGTTGCTCAAAACTTTATTGAATTCGGATCCATAACGCTGCCTTTTATTGATCTGAACCGATGACCCCATCAGTGCTAATGGTCATCCACGCATAACATAAAGCCTCATCTTCAATCATAGACCAATTAGGAGGCCGAATAGCCCTTTGCTTTATTGGAGGTTGGGAGTTACTGAATTGTGGCACTTCAATAGGAATGTTAAAAACTTGAGAAGGTTGATGAGACGGGAATTGAGATTCTGTAATGACCCGGATTTTCACGGATATATATTTTTTTCCGTTGTCTTTCCTTTCTGAGTTCAGTTCCTCTTCGCTTAATGTCGTCTCGAGTGCTCTAGAGTGATTTCTGAGACTCTTTTCTGTGGATTGACAACTTCCTTTGAGGACCGAGTCGTTTCCAGATTTTTCATTTTTCGACACTATTCACTTTTCGGCCTTTTCCCTATTTCGTCATTTTCCCTATTTTGTCTTTTCCCCGTTTGACACTTTGTTGGTGTAACCACACTTCTTGTATTCGGAGTTGGTTTTTGACTTCATGTATTTCCATCTTGAGTGGTTTCCACGAAATACGTATCTTTACTTTTGCAAGAAAGTACTCTAGTTGCTCCCGGTGTCCATAGGGGCATGGATGCAAAGTTCTTTGAAATTATTTTCTTTTCTTGGGGTGTTTTTCGTAAATATCTTTTGAAGATATTTTATTTCAGGGGTTTTTAAGAAAATATTTTTGGAAGATATTTTCATTCTGGGCCATTAGTGTAGTTTTCACTCTTTGGAGGGGTCATTGTGCAATTAATGAAAGTTATTGCTAAATGCCTTATTTTGAGCCTGAATCCTCGTACGGGATTCATTTTCACTTTTCATCGAGTCGTGTACTCTTAGAAATTCCTTTTGGTCATTGTTTTCTAGTTTTAGGGTTTCTGGACCCAGTCAGCGCCAAACTTGTTTAGGGCATAACTTTCTGCTCGGGAATCGGTTTTTGACGCCGTTTCTTTTGTTGTCCATATTTTCTCATTTTGAATCTTTTTCGTTCACACAGTTTTGTCATTTGAGCGCGTCTGTTTAAATTTCACTTTTTCGGACCTAGCGGGGCTCGTTCTGGGCACTTTTTGAGATTTCTACAAAAGGGGGGTGAGATATTTTATTTTTTCATCTTCCCCACTCTCTTGCACGACCTGAAGCTTCCATGGCAGCCCAAGGGAGGCTGTCACCTTCCCTTTCCTCTTTTGAGCTTCATTCCTTCGTCAGAACATAGAAGGGCCTTTGCGTTTAGTGTTGGTGTTGACTACGCGCTTCTTTCACCCTTATTAGAACCCATTTCTAACCATTCTTTGAGTTTGGGTTTGAAGTCAAGTTGTGATTTTGATGGGGCTTCCTTTGGGGTTATGTGCGCAGTGTAGTCCCCGACAAAACCTAGAAGTTTCGTCAGATTCGGAGCGATTTCTATTTGGTGGCTTTTGAGATTTTCATCTCAAATTGAGGTATGGGATGTTCTAGGCTTTTGTGTGTGTTGTTGTGGAGGGAAAAATCTCCCTCCAATGAGAACTGTACACGTCATCGCAATGTAAATACCCTTCACAAATGTCAGAGGCCCATCTTGCTCAAAGCCCAGTCCAAGCTCGTTGACAGCCCAAAATCATAAGACACTAACCCAAGGTCGCAGATAACTGATCTCTGTAGTATTGCTCAAGCTCGAAACAAGATATCTAGCCCGTTAACAATGTCACATGGATCAGGTTACTTATAGCCCAAATCCATTGAAAGGAAATTAGTCCTATTAGAAGAAGGATACAACAAAGAAAGAAACTACTCTACAAGGAAAATTATACAAAGGAATGAGCTCTATTTGTAAAGAATTTCTATAGCGAAAGAATTGGAGGACAAGCAATGCGAGTCCTACCACCAATAAAAGCATCAAGCAATTCTACGTTTTTCTATATATTGTCCTTGCTTATTTTTATTGTTTATTGAGTAAGTTGTGTTATTTCTCCTAATCATTATTGGTTGGGTGAAATTTTGCACCTATACTTTGGCGCCGTCTGTGGGAAACGTGTGTAAATATATTCCCACTCTTGTTTTTGTTTCACAGGTGAATCCTGCTGCTACCATCCAGAATGTAGAATGGAGGATCTTCAACGGATCAACAGATGAAGTTGATGCAGAAGATGCGTGAAGAGTTTCTACACCAGTTTGACGTACTTCGTCAAGCAAACGAAGCAAGCGTGGCTCAGATCGCCTTGCTTCAACAGCAGAATAATACTCTGCAAACGGCGCTGGCTCAGTTGGCACCACCGCCACCAGTGGGTGACACAGCAGCACCCCCTAGTCAGAATATTCCTCCGATTACTGGACTTCCGCCTGATGGGGCTCCACCTAATGCGGCATGACCCAATGAGGCTCCGCCGAACGAGGTTTAGCAACAACGGAGGGTAAGATCCGAGGCTGCGGCTTCAGATAACGTCCCTCGTCGCACACAGGATGAGCAAGTCGAATCCAGCCATAAGCTTACGGTGTGGTCCAATGGAATCCCAGATGGTGCAGGTGTTCAGGATGCCTTTGACGAGAAGAGACTCCTGAAGATTCAGACACCTGCCGAGATGGCTAGAGAACACAAAAATTCCTTGGTCAAAACTCCTTTCACTGATGATGTGTATCTGGTTGAGAGGCCCAAGAAATTTACCATGCCTTCTTTCACCTAGTTTGATGGAACAGGGGATCATTCTCGGCACCTAGATCATTACGCTCAAAAGATGGCTTTGGATGATCGTAATGACCCTTGGATGTGCAGAGTTTTCCCTACCAGTTTGACAGGAGCAGCACTAGAGTGGTTCAGGAATAGACTGCATAAGTCCATCCCGGATTACGTAACTCTATGCACCATGTTCCTGGCACAGTATTGCAGAAATAAGAAGCAAAAGAAGAGCATTGCTAGCCTCTTTACCGTAAGGCAAAAAAGGGGGGAAACATTGCAGGATTTCTTGTCAAGATTCAACATAGAAGCCTCAGAAATAGCGGATTGTCATCCCGCGACTGCTATAGAGACATTTAAACTTGCGATGATTCAGGGGACGAAGTTCCACACTTCCTTAGTCAAGTATTCTCCTCCCGACATGCAGACTCTCAATGTCAGGGCCCAGATTTACATTCAGCTTGAGGAAAATATAGCCCACCGAGCGCAGCACGCCACCCTCGTGACAGTGGAAAACAAACCTCGAGAAAGAGTTCCAATTCCAAAGATTCAAAAAAGCCAACGTTTCTTAACGCTAATCACCCAGGCACCTGAAAAAAGGCAAAGGGTAGAGGAAGGATTTACACCTCTCCGAACTACCTTGGTTCGGCTCTTCCAAGAGAATAAGATGAAGTTCATAACTCCGCAGCCGATAAAGCAACCCCTGGAGCAAAGAGACAAAAGCAAGCATTGCGCTTATCATCGAGATTATGGGCATTCAACCAATGATTGCAGATCACTCAGGCAACAGGTGGAGAATATGATCGCCAGAGGTGAGTTGACGGATTACCTCATGATATAGGAGTATGCAAAGCCCCGCGAGATCTATCCCCGCAAGGTGGAAGGTACATAAGTAAAAGTCATCCATGCAATACATGGCAGGTCTGAAGATGATCAAGAGTTCGAGAAGGTATACAGATCCAGACTCAGGGCAGCCCACAAGCTCAGGAGGACATCCTCGGTCAATGCTATCGCTTCGGATAGCATCAGTATTGGATTCGGGGATGACGACCTATCCAGAGTTCAACTCCCCCACGAGGATCCATTGGTCATCAGTCTTTTAGTGGTGGCCAATTGTATGATCCGGAGGGTTTTGATAGATCCAGGAAGTAGCGCCAACATAATCACAAAGATGGTATTTGAGCAGCTAGAGATCCCGTCATCATCTATTCGACCTACCTCTAGCCTGTTGATGGGGTTCGATGGCACACGAGTAGATCCCTTTGGAGTAATAGACTTGTCCGTAATTGCGACGAAGAGGACTCTGAAGGAGAACTTTGTTTTAACAGAGATCCATCCTTCTTACAATCTCATCATAGGAAGAGGCTGGATACATCGGATGAGAGGAGTTCCGTCCACCCTTCACCAGGTGATGCTGTGCTTATCTCCGGACTGGAAAGAAGTAATTAATCTGTAGGGTAATCAAGTCGCAGCGAAGGAATGCTATATGTTGACACAAGTTAAAGCAAAGAGGGTGTCGACTCAACAGGAACTAGGTGTGGCTTCCAAAACTGGACCCAAATAGTAATTATAGAGCCCTCTGCCCAAGTATCTTAAGGTAGAGGAGGAAGAGGAAATTGCGAAGCCCACCGAGGAGACCCTTGAAGCAGTGGAAGTTTTCCTCGGCGACCCTCAGAAGGTTACCTATCTAGGCTCTTCCTCCACGTTCGAAGAAAAAGAGGCGTTAATTGATGTTATCCGGAGCAACGCAGATGCCTTTACGTGGGATCACTTGGACATGGTAGGGATCGATCCCTTAGTTTCCTGCCATAGTCTGAAGGTGGATCCGGAATTCAAACCGATTAAGCAGAAACACCGAAGGTTTGCCCCTGAACGCAATCACATTATAGCTGAAGAAGTGAGCAAATTATTGCAAGCAGGTTTCATTCGAGAAGTGTAATATCCACAGTGGCTGTCAAACGTGGTAGTCGTACAAAAGAAGAATGGAAAGTGGAGGGTTTGTGTAGATTATACCAACCTTAACAAAGCCTGCCCTAAAGATAGCTTCTCTCTGCCTATGAACCCCGAAGATGAAGAAAAAACGGCTTTCATTACAGAAAAAGGGACTTATTGTTACAGGGTCATGCCATTCGGACTGAAGAATGCTGGAGCTACTTATCAACGCCTTGTCAACAAGATATTCGATAATTTGTTGGGAAAAACAGTTGAAGCATATATAGATGATATAGTGGTTAAAAGTGTGAAGAAAGAAGATCATCCGAAGCATCTACAGGAAGTTTTCAATACCTTGAAGAAGTACAACATGAAGTTGAATCCATCCAAGTGCTCCTTCGCGGTATCATCAGGTCAATTCCTCAGCCACATAGTGAATAAAAGAGGGATAGAGGTAAGTCCGGCTTAGGCTAAGGCCCTCATCCAGAATCAGGAACCAAAAAAATCGCAGGGAGGTACAGGTTCTTACCGGTCGAATCGCAGCCCTCAATCGGTTTATATCCCGATTGTCAGATAAGTGCAAACCATTCTTCGATGCTATACGATCTAAGAATAAAGATATATAGGGATCTCAGCAGCAGGAGGCCCTCAATCGGTTGAAAGGTTACATGGCCGAACCACCAATTTTATCCACTCTAAAACCCGGGGAGGTTCTTATTATGTATTTGGCAATTTCTAATATAGTGACAAGTGCAGCATTAATTAGAAAGGAAGGACAGAGGCAATATCCAGTCTTCTACACAAGTAAAACCATGATAGATGCGGAGATACGGTATAGTAAAGCAGAAAAAGTCATCTTAGCCTTGATCTATGCCAAGAGGAAGCTTCGGCATTATTTTGAATCTCATAGCATTGTGGTACTCACCAAGTATCCTATACGGGGTATACTCTCTAAGCCCGATCTATTTGGGAGAATTACCAAGTGGGCTATCGAGCTTAGTTCCTTCGATATAACTTATGAGCCAAAGGTGTCGCACAAAGGGCAGGCCGTAGCAGACTTTCTTCTTGAATATGAAGACACTCCCAAAGAGCTGATACACCCTAAACCACAGTGGGAACTTCGAGTCGATGGCTCCTCGAATCAAGCAAGTGCAGGGGTAAGTGTTGTAATGACAACACCCGAAGGCACCAAGCTGCAGCAATCTATCTGTTTGAAGTTCCCGGCTACAAACAATGAGGCCGAGTACGAGGCGTTACTTGCTGGTCTTCGATTGGCCAGCAGCCTCCAGGTACGTTGCTTAAAGGTTTTTAGTGACTCACAATTTGTTATAAATCAAGTGACAGGTTAGTACCATCCCAAAGAGGAAAGAATGAAAGCATATAAAGAAGCTGTAGAGAACATTGCACGAGGATTCGATCAGATCGAATTCTATCAGGTACCTCGTGTTGAGAATGCCGAAGCAGATCAATTGGTCACATCAGCGTCATCCTTAAATGAAGATCTGACTCGGATTGTGCCGATTGACATCTTGGACGAGCCCAGCATTAATCCTCCGCAGGAAGTAATGGTGATTCTAGTTATTCCTCGAGAACCATGCTGGATTGATCCATTGGAAGCCTACCTCAAGCATTGAGTTCTTCCAAACCAGAAGTCTGAAGCACGGAAGCTCCGTCTCATCGCAGTTAAATATGCCATCATTAAAAATCAGTTATACCAAAAGTCATTTTCAGGTCCTTACCTGAATGTTTAAGCCCTACTGAGGCTCTTGTGGTGTTGAAACAAATCCATGACGGAGATTGTGGCAACCATTCTGGGGGTAAATCCCTTGCGCATAAAGTTCTGACTTAAGGTTACTTCTGGCTGTACTTGGCCCGGAATACAGAAGAGTATACACGGAGGTGTGACAAATGTCAACGTCACGGTCCCATGAAGCATTAACCTAATGAAGATTTGCATGCAATGGCAAATCCATGGCCATTCGCACAATGGGGGATTGATATGGTGGGCCCGTTACCCAAGACTGTGGAACAAAAGGAGTACGTGCTACTGGCTACAGATTATTTCACTAAATGGGTATAAGCCGAGGCCTACTCAAGTGTGACCCATGAACAGGTAAAAACTTTCCTTTAGAACAACATCATTTGCCGGTTTGGGGTCCCAAAAGTCATTATGATGGACAATGGTAAGAACCTCGACAATAGAAGTACAAGAAAATTCTTCGCTGAGCATGGAATTATACAAAAGTTAGCTGCAGTTAGTCATCCACAAGGGAATGGACAGGCTGAAATAACTAATCGGACCATTTTCAATTGTTTAAAGAAGAAATTGGAGAAACTCAAAATGAAATGGTACGAGAATCTCCCTCAGATGCTTTGGGCGTACCGAACCACACCACGGCGGCCCACGGGGGAAAGTCCCTTTGCCATGGCTTATGGATCCGAAGTAGTGATTCCAACTGAAGCGGCGATTCCAACCCTTCGGACATCCTTGTTGCTTGAAGGAAAAAATAGTCAGCAGCTCGAACATAGTCTCGACCTCCTCGATGAAAAAAGGGATGCTGCAGCAATTAGGCTTGCTTCATATCAGCAGCAGCTGCGCAACAATTATAACAAACGTGTCAGATTCTGGAGCTTTGTGGTAAGCGATTGGGTTCTGAAGCAAAAGACAGCTCATGTAAAGAAACTGGAACCTAATTGGACTGGACCCTACAGGATTACCGAAGTAGTGGGGAAGGGAGTATATCGTTTGGCCGAAGCTGACGGACGTCCCATTGCGCGTCCTTGGAATGCAATACACCTTAAACGGTATTTCCATTAGTTAAGTTTGTCAATTTTATTAAGAATTCTTCACAAATAAGGTTGCGTAAGCCCACAGTCAGCCATACTTTACTTTATTTTTGCTTCTATTTGTTTCTTTCCATAAAAATAGGGGCCATACCATCATTCTATGATTATGCAATTTTGCGTCGCAGTATGCATTAGCAATTTTTATGCAAAGAAAGCAATTTTTATATGCAAAGAAAAAAAATTTGAAAGTTTTTATACAAAGAAAGAAATTTGAAGATTTCAAATTTTATGCAAAGAAATTTTCATACTACACTATGATTATGCAATTTTATTCTTTTATGCAAAGTAATGTTGGAAGCAAGTTATTAAAAAGCATCCGTTTTGACCTATGGTTGAAACTCTTTATCCCACATTGGATAAAAATAGAAAGGAAATATGGTTAATATATGCGTAGTCCATTATATATGGTTGCCAAGAAGGGAGTATCAATGGAGGAAAGTCTCCAAAGTAAACAAATAGGAAACTTCCCAGCCATTGTTACTCGCTTTCTTGGCCTCCTATCATTTTTGAGTCCTCGGCAAGTTATTTAAAAAAAAAAAAAAAAAACCGGTGAAGAGAAGAATATATGTATGAAAACCTCCCTCAGGCTCGTCGCCGGGGAGTAATTCATTCGCCTCGGATCCTAAGTGTCCGGCTCGGCAAAATCTCACCTCGGACCCTAAGTGTCCAGCTCAGCACAACCTCCCTCAGGCTCATCGCCGGGGAGTAACTCATTTGCCTCGGACCTTAAGTGTCCGGCTCGGCAAAATCTCGCCTCGGACCCTAAGTGTCCGGCTCGGCATAACCTCCCTCAGGCTCATTGCTAGGGAGTAACTCATTTGCCTCAGACCCTAAGTGTCCGGCTCGGCAAAAACCTCACCTCGGCGGACCCTAAGTGTCCGGCTAAGCGAAAACCTCGCCTCGGACCCTAAGTGTCCGGCTCGGCAAAAACTCGCCTTGGACACTGAATGTCTGGCTTGGACTCTTATTTATTTTGCTTCGGACTAAAACAAATAAGGAACCTTCAGGCAGAGTACCTTCCTTTTTTAAAAAAAAAAAAACTCTCAACAGAGTGAGTATAATATCAGAAGCATACAAGCATACTCAGTCGAAGCAGAATAAAAGAAACATAGCTTAAGAAACAAGGTTATATCATTCAAATTTATCATTCTCAAAATTGTTTCATTACAAGGAAAAGAGAAAAAAAAAGAAAAAGAAAAAAAAAAAAGAAGATAATTTGCTTGATCCTACTTCCTCTTCAGATCAAACGGGGTAGATTCGAAAGCATCTACTACAGCTGGACTTGCAGGTGGAGGAATTGAAGGACCAGGAGTTACAGGAGTTGATGAGCTTGGAGGATCTTCCGGGTGAGCCTTCACCATTTCAGCAAAAAGCACCTCAGCCTCCTGAGCCTTCGGACCCTCAGTATAAGGGAAGGACACCCCCATGTTCACATTAAAGGCATCAGGATCCATCGATTTAGGCCCTGAGCCTTGATTGAAGCCAGACCGGTAAGCTTTTGCACTTGACAAGCGCACCAGACTGGAGTAACGACCTTGCATCTGCTTCCCGGCAACGATGCAGGTGTTAAGGGCATTATTCAAGCGCTGGACTTCAGCCTCCAACGACTCAACTTTGGCATCAGAAGCAGCCAGACGCTTCTTGTAAACATCCTGAGCCTCATATGCAATTTTTGCATTGGTAATGGCATGTGATGCCTTTTTCTCAGAATTACTGAGGTCTTTCTCCAGCTTTTTAAGAGAAAGAGACTGAGCCTTAGCAGTAGCACAGAGGGCTATAGTATGATACAAGCCCTGTATCATGAGATAATAACAATGTAAGAAAGTTTGTAAGACAATTGTAACAATGGAAATGAAGGAAGGAGCAAACCTCTATGGCTCGAACAGGGGCAGATGGGAGTAGCTGTTCCCACCCCATTCTGCAGATAATTTCTTCATCCTTGGGGAGCCATATTCCCCGAGTGATAGTTAGTGCTGCAGATGGGTCAGTGATCATAGAATCACCAACATGGAGGATGGACTTGTCAGCCCTCGAGAAGGAAGGAGTCCAAGGTGCCCCAGCCTCGGCAAGGACGTAAGCGCTGACCTCATCCTCAGGGTTAATCTCCTCGGTTTTCTTCCCTTTGTTTTTTGGGTTGGAAGCACCCTTGGGTTTCGTGGT